GTTGAGCGGTCCGCGTAAGCGTGTTACTAATGGGACGACGTACCACAATGATCCCAGGTTGAACTGGTCAAGGAACCACAAGCGGCCCTGTGCGAAAGATTGCTCTACTGGCCACGAGTACTTGCTAGAAGGGATGGGGCGGTGTTGCTCTGTGTTTTGTTGGAGAGTTGTCGCTAGATCAGCGAGCACAGGGTTGTTGAAGATGTCTCTGACAGACACCATAGTTTTCAGCCGACGGCCAAGCTGCGCAGCCAGCTTCATCGCTGTGAGAGAGTGCCCACCAAGCTCGAAGAAGTCGTCAGTCGCACCGACTTCAACCCCGAGAATGCCCGCGAATACTTCACACAATGCGCTTTCAATCGCATTGCAAGGGGCCACATGTTCGACGACTCGTCTCTTTCTTTCTGCTGTCTGTGCCATAATGCCTAGCTCTTTCCGATCGACCTTGCCATTTGCATTGATGGGCATTTGGCTGAGTACTATGATCTGTGCTGGGACCATGTACGCTGGTAGCACCGCCTGCAAATGTTTGTTTACCTGTCTTTCGGGTTCTGAATCTTTGGCACCCCTGCAGACAACAAATGCGACGAGTTCCTGCTCGGCACCATCTCGCTGGGAGACAACAACGGCGGCGTCGCTGACAGCGCTATGGTGCAACATAGCGTGCTCCACTTCTGCTAGCTCAACACGGTAGCCACGGATTTTGACCTGCTGATCGATACGACCAAAGAACTCAATCTGACCATCTTGTGGTCGGAAGCGGACTCGGTCACCTGTGCGATACGCTTTGACTCGCTGAGCGTCAATAGTCACATCAACGAAGCGATTTATATCTAAAGCTAGGTCGGTATATCCTCGAGCCAGACCGTCTCCGGTTAGGACCAGTTCGCCAATAACGCCGATCGAGACAAGCTGCTGCTTAGTATCCATGACGACAGCTCCGGAGTTGCTTACAGAGCGGCCAATAGGCACTCCGTTTGTGAATAGTTCTTTGTCTTTCACGTAGTAGATAGTGCTAATGTGGTTCTCTGTTGGGCCGTACGCGTTGTATACCCCACCCTTGACTAATGCCTGTGCCTCCATGGCGTCTCGACTATCCAAACGGTCTCCCGATGTAAACAGGATGTCCAAGCCGGAGATCAAGTCAGGCATATCAGCGAGGTATCTCTTGAGCAGTGCGGGTGAAAGTGTGGCCGTTTGAATCTTCTCTTCGGCAAAGAGCCTTTGGAGTGCTGTGCTTTCCATCGTGACAGGATTCTCAATACAGATAACGGATCCTCCATTCAGTAGAGCTAGACAGATTTCCCATACGGACACGTCAAATGCGATATTTGTCAGGTGCGCGGTACGAGGCGATGGCGGAAGCATAGAAACAAGATTGCTGTCCCGTATGAGTCGGACGATGCTGCGATGTTCAAGCTGGACGCCTTTCGGCTTGCCTGTAGAGCCGGATGTGAAAATGACATATGCGAGACTTGTCGCAGAGGGCGATGATCTCCGGATTGAAGCAACATTGGTGTCTGAGTATTTCAAGGTGTCGCTGATTGTAATCATTTCAACGTCCGGCATCGCGATCTCTGGGGCTTGTACGCTAGACCCGAGTAGGACGAGCTTGTGGCCAGCGACAGCTGAAAGGATCGTTTCAGTGCGCGCGACAGGGACATTGACGTCGAGCGGCAAGTACGCAAGACCCGCCTTGAGAATACCGAGAAAGGCGACAATCGTATGACAGGAACGAGGCGCGAGGACACCAACTAGAGTTTCAGGAGCCATCCGTCGTTGGCACAACCAGGCGGCTAATCTCTCTGATTGTCGATCGAGTTCAGAATATGTCAATTCAGATGAAGAGTCTTTGATTGCCATTGCCTCTGGGCAGACAGCGACCTGCTCACGGAAGACGTCGACAATGCTTGAGTCTCGCGGATATGGCGTCTTCTCAATGTCGAGCAGGTTGAGCCTGCGGAGCTCCGAAAAACCATCTGTAAGCGGAAGAGTAGCGATTGGCAATGCCGATTCTTCGAGGCCGCGGCGGAGGATCTCGTTAAAGACTAGTAATAGTCCCTTAACTGTCTCAGGTTCGAAGATATCAGTCGAGTAGAGCAGACTACCATGTAGACAGTCGTCTTCCTGAAAGAAGTGAAACTCCATGTCCAGCCGGCTTGTTGGCGTCATCTCTATGAGTTCGGCTTGCAACCCTTCAAATTGTAGCTGACCGAGATCTCGCTGCGTGTGAACTGCAAATAACAGCTGCACAAGTGGGTTACGCGACGTGTCTCGCGAACCTGGGAGCAGGGCTGAGACAAGCTGCTCAAAAGGCACATCTTGGTTAGCGAACGCTTCTGTTGCCGAATCGCGAGTCTGTTGCACTAGGCCTTCAAATGTCTGATTAGATGTGACAGCAGTCCGGATGCACTGGGTGTTAACGAAGAAGCCGATCAAGTTTTCAAGCTCCGGTCGATTCCTGTTGGCTGTAGGCATACCGATGGTAGCATCGTCGGTACCGGTCAGCCTATAGTGTGTCGCGCGGAAGGCAGCCAGTAGGACGACGAAAGACGTGACTTGATGAGCAAGACAATACGCCTGAAGGCTCTCATACAGCGCTCCGACAATCGTGAAGGGAACGACACCAGCCTCGCCTGAGAGAACTTCGGGCCTTGGCTTGTCACAAAGAAACTCTGCTGGCGTACTATTGGCGAGTTGTTTGGTCCAGTACTTAAGCTGCTTGTCTTGCTCCAATGCTTGCTCTGGTTGCTTCTGCCACGCTGCAAAATCACGGTACTGGATTGGGAGCGGTGTGATTTGCGACAACGGGTCGTCCCCTTTGAGGGCCGCGCTGTAGAAGACATCCAGCTCATGGCGGAGCACGTCTACCGACCACCCGTCAGAGACGATGTGGTGCATGACGATCGACAGGATATACTCGTCTCCACTAAGCTGGAACAAGCAGACCCTCCATCCTGGCTCTACGCTGAGATCAAACGATCTCGTCTGCTCAATCTTCAATGCTTTGCTGACTTCGTCGTCGTTATACGTAGATATGTCAATGGTCCTGATGCTCTTTAGTCTCCATGGCTGGACTACTTGCATTCCGACACCGTTGTGCTCCTCAAAGGTAGTCCGTAACGTTTCGTGTCGCTGCTCAAGAGCATGAAGCGCAGTATTGAGTGCGACGCGGTCG